ATTACCTGCTAAAATTTCTATTTTTAAGAAAGCATATATGCCTTGTATATATTTATAAATAATTTAATTTAACAATAAGCGATTTGATTTTAATTAAAGTTTTAAAGTGATTTAAAAAATCAACTTTATATGAAATAAAGTGCAGCTTAATTATTGATCGAAAATTATTAATTTTTAGAATGTGTTATTAATTAATTATATGTATTATGATTTATTATTATAATGTAACGTTTAATTTGTGCATTACTTTGGTAAATGTTAATATTAAATTTTCAAGTATATATATTAAGAATTTTACAAATATACATATTAAAATTTTCTTCTAAATCGCAAAATCATAAAATAATGAATAAAGCAGCTTCATCTTTTACTATTTTTTTGTATTAAAATTTTACAATTATTATTATGAAGAATATTAAGTTGTTAATATCTATTAAATTTTAACCTAGACTATTCAATAGGGATGCATTGGATATCCGGAAGTATCCGGTATCCGATATTATCCAGCACTTTTTTATTATCGGGCCGGATAGTCAGATATCATTAGTATCCAGGAATATATCCGATTGAAATTTGATATTGTTAAATTGTTGATTTTTTTTTTATATTTGTTCTAGAAACAAGAAAACATATTCATGATATGCATATTCTATAACATCTTATACATTGTTGCAAAATTATAACCTTTTTCTCTATAGAGTTTTTTTTAGCCTTTCTTGGAAGCCGGTTAAATATTCGGCAAATGTCGGATATCCGACTCGAAGAAATTGCTTTCTCGGATATCCGATCGGATATTCCATTGTTACGTTATACAATTAATTTAATAAGAAATACTATATTTTTAATAAAATTATATGTAAGATGAAATTTATTTTCTAGATTGGAACATTTCATAATCCGTCATTACAGCAATTTTGAAAATTAATGAGACTATACAGTTTGTCATGTATAATAATATAACCATTTAACATTTAAACGGAGTCATTGCGGATTTGTATGAGTTGCTGGAAATCTGTAAAAAGAAAATTATAGTATTAATATATATGTATAAACTTTATAATTAACAAAAATGGAGAAGATTAGAAGATCTGATGTATAATGCTAATAAAAGAATTAGTTTTAAAACCAATATGTAAATATTAATGTGTTTTAATAATAACACAATTAAAAATTGAACTTTATACTAATGTACACGGTAAAAAATATTTTGTATTTATGTTAAAACGAATCCTTATTAAAACTTTGTTTGATATGTTGACTTTTTAACATATCCGAGTAATTTAACATAATGTGTTATTTGAATATTTTGTGTTAAATTAAAATTTAACATTTCTCAGTATTAAAATAACACAATTTATAGATAAGTAAATGAATAACATAAAAATAATGTAGTTTTAAAATTCTAAGAATAAATGAATAAAATGTGTGTGTTAATGTAATATATTATAAATGGTAATTTTACTGAAGAAATATGTTTTGTACAGCTAGTTACATATTTTATATGTAAAAAGGTACAGATATTTTTTTCTCTTTGTAACAGTAAATATCTGTTAAATCTATTATACATATTAAATGTCACAGAGGTCTTACTTAAATTAAAAATGCAAAAATAGCATCTAATTTTAGTTAAATTTAATATTATAAATGTATTAATTTAATATAAAATTTGCTTTTATATTGTTAAAGTATTATACTTCTTGTATTCATTTATTACATAATATTTGTGTTGCTTTCTTACATATTCATCTTATGTTAAATTAACACAAAAATTTGGGTGGACCGTTTGAGACATGTGAAATGTATTAAATTTAACGCAAACTTTTTTACTGTGTAGAAAAAGAAGTGAATCGTCCAGGCGCTATAGTTGATGTGGCAATCATGGTTCTTACGGTAGTCGTATGTATTGTTCCAGTAATTTGGGAATTTTCGATGATTGCAGGGCTGTTTCTAACTGAGGAAACTAGATCAAAGAATCGATTATTAATAACAATTTTTGCATAACTAATAATTATACAATATTTATACAAATAAAAAAAATTAGAAAAACTACGATATAAAATAATATTAAAAAGATTTAATTGAAAAGCAACATGGCGTATATAGGTATTAATGCCTCTGATAGTAGTGTGTATAAAAAAAATTAAACTTGATATTAACCTAGTAATTGCTGTGGGATATGAGATTGCCGTGAGACTGTAGGTAACGTAGTATCCCATTGTGACTGTTGCGATGAAGATTGCGATTGATTTGTGAGATCACTGAGTTGTAGCAATCGTGAACCACGTGGCAACTGTGACATTTGCGAGCGATGCGACAATTGTGACTGTTGTAAAGATCGCGACTGATTTGTGAGTCGCGGTGATAGTGAGACGCGCGGAAGCGGTTGGAACTGCGAAGAGATTGTTATAATAATGAATATATGAGTAACTAGTAATTATAAAGAAGCAAGGAAAGTTAGAAGGTTTTACAATATCAAATAAAAATAGTAAGGCTAATTCGTAGATGTTGTTGCCATCATATGTATTATAATTATTTAACAATTGATATAAAAATATTGTACGGCGCCAAATATTTTCCTCGGACTTTTTTCATGGTATGATATAAAGGCAAAATTAAAATGAAACTCACAATAACACAATTAAAGCATAACGAGGATCATATAATATAAAAGTTGTATATAGAACAAAAAATTGTAAAATATCTGATGATGTACTATATTATATATAATTGAAAATTTTTCTAATATACAAAATTTTTTAAATTAATATATACTTTACACATTACATGTTTTACACTCACATTTATTTCGTGTTCTTCTTTGATAACTCTGTCATTTTGCTTGAGAGTTGAAATAAAATATTCGTTTCTACCAAGACAAACGTGACGATACCAAACGATGAAACGGTGCCAAAGGATTCTAAAGAAGATCCGAATGCGTCTTAAGATACGAAAGTTAGGACACCTAATTAAATTAAATATTTTTTATTTTATGTGTATGAAGACTCTAATAATTAAAAATAGCAAATAAATCATTGCAGTAGCATATAATAAATTGAAAAAAATCTAATCAATGTGATATCAGTTCGTAGTTGTACTGTTTATTTGAAAGAAATAATCAAATAGAAAAGATTTTCAAAAACTTGTATATTCTTTTTTTAACTGTAATCACGTATTTTATTTACATTAGTAGAGATGTATTTTTATTATTTTGTACTATTTAAATATTAAAATACTGCTATAGAATAATATTTCACGTGATATTTCGTATGTTTTATGTCGAAACATTTTACCAAATATGAAATCAAATATGAAATATCTTTTAAGCTATTACTTCTTATAACTTTCTTAAGTGCTTCTTAATGCTTTCATAAGTAGAATAATAAAAGAAATTGTAAAAAAAATATTTAAGATATTTCTAGTTCAGTATAGTTAATTTATATAGGCATGACATTGTAAAAATTGGATGTATATTTCTAAAATGTTTTCCAGCAAAAATTTAGAATTATTTTTAGTACAATATTATTTCATATTTTCACTTTTTTTTTCAATAAACTTTTTACATTAGTATTAAGTAATTATATTTTATTAATCAGTTATAAAAATTATAAGCATTTATAGTAAAAAAATTGTATTTACCAGACTTGGCAATATAAATTGGAATTTATAATTAACATTATGAATATTCCAATTCCTAAACCAGCAGCAAACCATAAATAATTAGGCCAGTGCAATATCGAATAATTTACAAATTCAGTATTCGAAACTTGGAATTCTTCTGTTTTATTTTTTGTATATGTACTGTTTCTTAATACTGGTATCACAGTATTTGTTAATTGTGATGTCACGTTTTCTGTTACAGAATCTAGAAAAGTAATGGCAATTAATAAATAATTATTAATGTTCATTGTTAGTGTTATAGATTTTGTAATAACTATTTAATTACATATTAAAGAATTAATTTTTTTAATATAAAAATTTTTAGAAAATCTGTTGATTGCAAATAAAGTTACATTAGTCTTTTTTATAATAAAATTTTTCATTTATTTATTTATAATAAGATTATCTTATTACTGTATTTTTGTTAATTATTTAATAAAAGTGAAATAGGAAAGATAATTTAATTTACATTGAACTATTTTAACTTGCTATAAATAAATTACAATTAATTTTTGAATTAATAACAAATAAAATGAAAAGAAGAATTTAATTCTATCTACACATTTTCATTTTATACCAGTCGATTATTTTATACATAATAATTTACAAATCTTGTGTATTCTACTCTTTTCAAGTTACATTATATTTTAATATTATACATATTATATATTAATCAGCTATGTTTCATTATTTCTTTATATGCATATATTCCTTACAATTTCATTATTCAAAGATATACCTGGAGACAAGGCAGTGTCTCGGTACTATTTGCTATGTTTAATATTTACATGATTAAGAGAATAACAAAAATAAACAAATAAAAAATATTATTTTCTTAATATAAATTTCTTTACCAAAAATTAAAGTAGTAGTAGTGTAGGTGCTCCATAACGACGGTGACAGTGTCATAATGTGAAATATATATATTCTTTCTTTTACTTAAATAGGAAGAATTACTTTCCTTATTTCCTTTCCTAGTCATATAAGTAATTTTGGAAGTCGTAATTAATATCTTGCTGTATGTCGTATATTGTCGTATCGGCGTATCATCTGAAACTAGTAACATCTAAAATTAATGATATTATTAATGTTTATTTTGGATGTTTGTGAATAATGAAAAATATACGTTGGACAGCTTATATTTTATTCAAGATAGTAAAGAGATAAAAGGAAGCTCAAACAAGATCAGATTGAAGAAATGTTTATATATTATTTGAGAGAGAGAGAGAGAATGAAAGAGATCAATTAAGATTATGAAAGATAACTTTGATTTCGTCTAATATACATAGCAGAAATTTATTTTTTTGGAGTATCTTAGAGTTGAATCTATGATGTGATCAACATGGCATTAATTACATGTTATAAATATTTACAACGTAATTAATTATTAATTAATATTAATTTCATGAAGAGGACAGAATTCTATTTTAATATTCAATGCTATCGCCAATTTCTTTGTATATGCTTGATAAATGATTAGCATTTTATAATGCAAAAATTACAACAATAGATAATCATGAAATATAAATTAATATGCAAAGAATAATATACAAATGATGATTACTAATTTTATGAGGTCTGAATTAATCTTTATTTCTATAAAAATTCAATTGGATAAATTGTACCGTGTACGTATAATTCGTGATTTAATATTAATTAATAACAAATAATACTCATAGATGGAAAGTTAAAGAAAAGTTCGGTATGATAACTGATACATTAAGATGTTATTTGCTTGACGAGATGTAAAAATTAATTTCAAATAAGACAACTTTACTTGTATATCAAATAAAGTATTGTTTTTATACGTTCCTATTATATGATTCGATAACAAGTTACTGAAAGCTCTGTTCGAAAGAACCATATCTTTAGCATAATTTATTGTTATTTGCATGTTATTGAACTTTTTATATGAATCTATATTTATCTATCATTTAGCTTTTGCGTCACTGAGTTAAACATGCTCTCTTTTTGGAAAGAAAATTAAGCAACGCGTAAAATCAAATCTCGATTACGAGTACGTATATCTACATTTGCAAGCCACGTTCCGTGACTCGTCGTGGCTTGTCAAATAAATAATTATGATAATTTCAAAATAAATTCGACTTTGTAGATTGGCAAGCAATCGAGTTACAACGAATTAAATAGATTCTACGTCGCGTCATTACACTGTAGTTCGTTTATGCATATCATCTCTAATTCGTAGCTTGTAAACGTAACAGTTAAAAAAATATGAACACGAAAAGAATAATTTTGCTGAAATATCTAAAAATTTAATTATATACAGATCTGAAAATAATTTTATTGAACCAATAACACAAAGTTAAAGTAATTACAAATCTTAAATATGACGAGCAATGCTGCAAAACATTTTGACATTCGAGCAACCAGTCAGAGTGTCTTACTAATTATTTGGATGGTTCAAAAAAATTATTTTTACACATCTGCATTTAGCTAAATTTTTAGATACTTCAGCAAAAACGTATTTTCTATGGAAAAGTGAACAGCATGGATAATAAACATTGACCTACGATCTAATGGCGCGACTCATTGATTTGTAGCTTGACAAGCATTTTGATTCGCGTCCTACTTATCGATAATGAATGGGGATAATGAGTCGCGAATCGCAAGCCATGAGTTATGACTGCTGCGAGCAATAACGAACTACCTCGGTTTCAGGGCACGTGATGAGCATGGCAAACATAACGAATGGTTTGGTCTGTATTGGTTTGTATGTACACGGAACCTCGTGTTTATTAAATTAAATCTCGAGCATTTCGATGTCACGCGGTTCACATGCGAAGACGGTATTCTGTTGTCAAGGAATGTTACACAGGAAGGTTACGCATTTCTTTGGACACACTGAGAATAATGCTGAGAATAATGCTTGAACATCGAGCTAAATGAAAATAATTGCACAGTCACAACATGTGATGCAATTCATATACTTATATATATGATTGCCTGTATTAAAATTATTTACTTTTGGGAGACAGAATAGAATTCCAATATAAAAATGTTAAAACACAATTTTATAATATAATATTTTATGAAAAAAAATAGAAACTCGTTTGAAAGGAATTTAACTAACCTGTACATTTAATTTAACCTGTATAAATTCTTGCAGTAAAGTTACAAGCATTTCACAAACTTCTGGCACTAAGAGATTGAAGGATTGTTTGCAAATCTTAAAAAGATATTGCAGATTTTATAAGAATCACTGTTTTTCAAAAATCGTAAAAATGATTAGTACAAGTATTTTCCAAGAACGTGTATAGAAGATCAAGCATTCGACATCTAGCGTGAGAAATACCAGTTGACAAAGAAAGTGCGACAAAGAGTGCCATCGATGTATTGTCCTTTCTTTTTCTCTAAGCAAGTATTGATTGAAAAGAGAAAGCTATATACATATTTTCTTCCTTTTTCTATGGTATTCCTTCCCTTTTCTATGGTATTCCTTCCCTTTTCTATGGATAGTATTTGAAGGAAAGAAAGGAGAACATATATAAAAATGATTCTAATTGTATAATTTATCTATCAATATGCTAACTTCACGCTTTCTGTAAGAAAAATAAATGAATGGCATAAGATCTATGTATGCATATTCCTCATTATTTTCGCACTTTTCTAAAATATATGAGTTACCTATTCTTTTACATTTTAAAATTAATTTAATTAATAATTCGCATAAAATTTTTATATCGATCGCACTAATTTGTGAAATTTTAAGTTTTCTTTTAAAAATAAATTATGATTATTATGTTCCGCCCGTATTAAAAATAAAAATAAAACACTTTCTATAATCTACTATCATCTTTCTTTTTCGATTCATTTTTTGTACAGCATAATTTATACATATAAATATACTCATAATTAACTGCTGCAACAAATTATATATACAACATGGGCTGATACAGTTTTTTGTAGTATAGCCGAGTGAACATTGTTCTTCTTTATGCATGTAAAGATCGACTTACAGTCACTGTGAAAACTATCAAGGACTACCATAAAACGATAGGAACTGCCGGCATCGCATACTTATTAAAAATGTATCACAGCAAATTAAAAAATTATTTAATAATACTTAAGAGCAAGAACTTTGAGCAAGACCTTTTGAAAGCGTTGGAACTATTACAGGATTATAGGAAAATAGCAAAAAGTCGACAAAAATTAACTGTTACATTATACTTTATTCTTGTAATGGAGTGCCAGCGCTTACATTGACAAATTGTTTAAAAATACTTAAAGGCTGGAAACTGTCGCTAAAACTTATCAGGAACTGAGGAACTCTTTGAGATCAAGAGAATTTTGTGATGAAAATTTTTTTGAAACTTCGGGTGTTAATTGTCAGATTAAATATTTATTTTAAAATATTTAAAGACCTGAGCTATTGTTAAAATTTATCAGGAATTATAGAACTCTTCGAGAACTATAGAACTTCGTGATAAAAATTAATATTTGAAGTTGGCATCCCGTTAAAAAAAATTTTTTTTTGTATTAAATCAGCGGAACAATTGTTAAAATCTAACAGGAACTGTAGAATTATTGTGGGTGCAAACGGAATTGCGTATAAAATATCGGATTTTTCAACATGAGATGTCAACTTCACGGCAATTTCTATTCTCGGATTAACAATTATTATATACAGAGTGATTAAATTAACTAACACTTAAATTGACCATCTGAATATCTCGCTTATTTTTGATGATATAAAAAAATGTTTCAAATGAAAGTGGAAGGGTTTCGAGGGAACGTATTTTGGTCATGTTTTTTAGATGAAAGCATCAAAAAGATATGAAGGTTATCTCCCCTTTTTAAAATGAAATTGTATAATTTTTGTTACCTAATATGATATTCCTCTAATTATTCTGCATATAAAAGTATTAAGTAGTAGTATCAAAAAACCAATAGTTGACGATATATTTTACACATTTTATTCTGGCACATATTGACATGTTAAATAACTCGTAAATTATTAACTTTTTGATAATCGTACCTTAATACTTTTACGAACAGAATAATGAGATGAATGTGGTTGATGGAATGTGGTTAAAACCATTATCGAAAATAATAGAAGTGTTTTAAAAATATAAACTTGATTTTTAAAAAGTTTGTAAATTTATATTAAACAATACTTGCAAAACACATTGTATATATTTCCGCAGTTAACAAAACCATATACTTTTTAATGTAAGACATGTATTGCTTACTATTTTATTCATTGTAATGAATCGTTTGTACGTTTACATTATGATGCGTTGCAGCAGGACGAGTACGCGGTAAATTTCTATTAAATCGTTGATTGAAAATATTCTTCAAATTTCGAAGAGAGGAACAGATGTATCTATTTATATTATATCATGAGATAATTCACAATTAATGACAAGTAATAAAAATGAAATGTTTTTGTACATAAAAATTATAATAAGCAACTATAGCAGTAATCTAATATCACTAACTTCATATTTATAGATTTTTTAAAATTAAATGACGTCTGCTAGGTGATGCCGCCCTCTCTTCTATTGAACCAAATCTTAATGAATAAATTTTATATATATAAATAGCACGTTATTATATATATATATATATATAATATATAAAATAATGTGCTATTTATGCGCTCTCTAAATTAGCAACAAAAAATTTTTGCGCTTATTTTATAGTATAGCTAAAAACAAAATTCTTATGAGGGAGGGGCTGAGTAGGCTATGAGTCAACCACCTCACATGTTAATAACAACCGATTAAAAAAATCAAATACACAAGATTTATGTGCTATTTATGCGCTTTCATATTCACAATTTTTGCTTGCCTTAAGGCAGAGATCGGCAGACGAGCGCTGCTCGCGGGCGCCCAGCTGCAACACTTGAACGCGCTGGTCAATAGTTGAATGTCTTTGGGTAATAAATG